ACTCATTTGAATATTTCTCGACGGCTACATGAAGAGAATTAACATGATATACGGAACCTTCATTTGCACACACACACACACTGATATGTGTACATACCACACACATCTAAACGTATAAAACTAGACACACTTACAATCCCCTACAGACGCACACACAAACCTGAACACCTACACAGTCACCTTCACCCTATATATACACACCTATGTACACACCTACACATACGCATATAAACACACCCACACACATACACACACACAAACAAACAAGCAGATACACGCAGAATTTGTCACATTTTGGCATACGATAGGCTAGCCGATGGATTGGAAGAATATGTGGCTAAGGTGCCAAGATGAGTTTTTGAAACTTTACCCAAGAACTGCATGGCGACTTGCAGGGAAGGAATCAACCAAAATACCAGCAGGATTCTTATTGTTCCTCGATTGGAGAATATTCTTCTGCAATTAATCAGTTATAAGCTCGAGTTGGTTTCGAATTCGGAGCACCACAGTAATATTAGAACACAGAATATTTGATGGTAGGCGCTGCAGCTTGTCACCTCGTCGGAAAGGGTCACCGTTTGCCATCGACCGCAGCCATGACCAGCCTACTTTAGCTTCATCTCAAACGGTTTCCGCGACTACTGTAACCTGATTTCTAAGAGAAGATAGCTGCTTCTAACGTACTGTTTTGTGAAACGCGACCTGTTGGGTTGTTCGGAATGTTCACGCCGATTTCAAGTGCACGGTGTTCATCAACCGTTCTATGATAGCTCTTCACACAGACCTCAGAAATTGAATATTATTTTCTGAAAAAGGTTCTGTGCTACTTTTGTGTGGAACCAGTGTGAGAATGAAGGTGTCGTGCCGTTCGGACGACTTAAAGGTCGGCCTGGCGTGGCGCGCCCTCGGACCCGCCGGGAAGGCACGGTGTGCTGCAAGGAAGCAGAGTTTGCCACGTGGCAATGGACTCCAGCCGCTACGCATGACTGCATCATCATTCGTCGTCGCAGCCGCCTGTTCTTCGGTGTCTTCTGGTGCCAATCGACGTCAACGCCATCGACGCAGCCCAATGGTTCCCGTAGCACCACATGTTGCCATCTACCAGTGGTGCCATTGCTAAGTATGTCACAAGCAAGGAATATCAGGATGAATGGTCAGCAGCCATGGAAGGACCTTGAAGCAGCAGTGTCAGAAGAAGGTTGGGATGACTTGGATGGCCCTGGACGAGAATTAAGCAGAATCGTACCCAGTCCGTACCCTTAGCGTACTACGGGGGTAGTACCAGCCTGCAGGAGCTCGCAAGGGAGACTGGGGCAGCCTAGGCCTACCAAGTCCGTGTGACAGTTGAACACGAGCATAACGAACGGGCAGAAGACCCCGGTCACCTAGCTCATGCCGCTGGGGTCGCCCTGCCGAGCAACCACCGATGCGGATTGGCCTTGACGGGACGATCCCGACGGTGCGACAGAAGGATCACCAGCCGCTCTTTCACTGGTCCATCTTTTTTCTTCAAAAGCACGACAATGGTTCAGTTCCGCGGCAGAGGTATTGCTGTTTATGAATATCACCTTTAGGAAATCGGATTGGCCATCTATCCGCTAGTCCGATCACACTACCATCAGCTTCTCGTTTGATCTAGTCTCTGCAGAAGTGGTCCCATGTGAAATGAATTTGTTCTTCGGAGGATTGTGAAATGCATGAAGAGGAAACACTTATTTATACGTCTGAATACTTTCATGAAGGTGGGAAAGCAAATTTTCAAGACGGAATAGCGAACCATGTCGAGCAAAATGGCTGCTTTCAGACCTCAATAACTCATCCGACCGTCCGTCCGTCCGTCCGACGTGTGGTGCTGCGACAGCGGCGCCTGACCGTTGTTGACAACGCTAGAACACATGCCAGCGCTGTCAACACTACTCTAGCGACCGCCGTCGCAGCACGCACGCGTCGGACGGACGGACGGNACAACAATGGCGCACAAACTTGCTCCATGTATAAAAGTCACGTGAAAAAATAAATGGCCACATTCGGTA